TTTTATTTGGTATGCATTTGTAGCAACAGCATGATAACATTTATTTGTTTTTATTTGCGTTTTATATTCATATTGATAATTCACGTTTTGTCTTGGATAATAAAGCACGGTTATGCATAATAAATTGTATGCATAATAAATATTCACTATCACTGTATGAGGTAAGAATCAACAGCTTTTTATCACATTTACACAACACTTTATGAATACAAGTCATGAACAAATCTTAAATATGGCAGGGGATGTGTTTACTTTTTTTGTTTTGATTTTTAGCAGCAAATTTGGAGTTACATATTGGTGCTCACCAGGAATGCATAGGCAAAATTGCACAAATTTTCACTTGAAAGAATAGTGGCGATCTTGGGATTTTTTTCTGTTCAATTTTCAAACTGTGTAAATTTAATACACTTCATCTTCAGCATGTTTAGTGCCACTTTTGTAAGTAACCACGCCCCCGTCCAGGCCACGCCCCCGTCCAGGCCACGCCCCTTCCGCTTTTTTCATCACTCGCCATTGCCATGTATGCCGTAGCGCAATGATGTCAGTTAGGAAAATAATTCTATGTTGACTGCATCAAATTTCAGCAGCTCAGAAAAAGTCCTATCAATACCATAGTGCCCAAAATAGTGAAAAAAGAAAAAGTAAAGGACCCCCCCACAAAAAAAATCATGTTCCTAATTACTCGGATTATAGGTTGGATTTTAAATATACCCCAAACTATGTTACCAAAACACTACTATTAATCCAAACTATTCTTACAACTGCACCCTTTAAAATCAATACCATACAGATATGATTTAAAAAAATAAAGTTCACTTGGAAGCGTTTTGAAAGTTTATTATTTTATGTCATCATGCATTGATATAATTAACCACAGCTTTAAAATGTAAATTTCTCATAAAGTACTTCTGTATGAACCTGTGGGGTTTTTTTCTTGCTTGTCTTTAGGATAATACTGCTCTGTTCCTGTTGGGCCAGTGCTATGAGAGCGGCTTTGGGGTCCGGCAGAGCCTGAGGACGGCAATTGTATTGTACAGACAAGCTGCTCAAGCAGGGAACAAGCAGGCTCAACTTTTCCTGAGATCCCCCACTGAGACAGACGGTGAGTGAAAGCGCAGCTCGTGTGTCATCTGCCGAACTGACTGACTTTCTCCATCCCCTGCAGTGTTGCGCTCCATCCGTTCTTCGCCATGTTTCTCCGTGCCCGACCGGGACCTGCAGCTGCCACTGTCCTCTCTGGCTGATGGTGTGTGTGCAGACACCCGCCCTTTCGTCTCCCTTCCCTTCCTGCATCACTGCTGGAGCACCGGGAGCATGACTGTGGCTCCAGTGCTCTCCTCCAGCCCTCTTCACCTTCATCCCCAAAACTTGGAGGCAAAATCGTGCCAGTGGATGGTAGGCGTTGGATAACTGCCAAGCGTTACACAAACAGATGTGTTATCTGTTCGGATATATTGTGTTAGGGTTGCAAAATTTTGTGAATTTTCAAATTTTGGAAACTTTTACTGTATCCAGAAATTAAAGCAAAAGTAGGCACCAGATCCTGTACTTATGTTTGACACCTGTGTTTTCACCAGCGTGTTACATCTGGACATGCAGGGAGGGATGTGTAATTTAGTGTGAGTACTGCGTGTGAGTGTTCATACTTGTATGTTTTCTTTATCTCTATCTGTATCTCCCTCTCGCTTTGTGTGTGTGTGTGCGTGTGTGTGTGTGGTGGCGGCGGCCTGTTTGTCTCAAATTGTGTAGCGTTAACAGCCAATTTTAAACCATTGAAGTGGTATACTGTACAGTACATTACATACAGTGCTGTGAAAATTATTTGCCCCCTCTGAGAGATATTAAAATTGGTTTGATGATTTGAAACCTGTGTGTGATAGATAGGCAAAACAAACAGGAATCGGGCGGGTTTGGGGGGGCAAATAATTTTTCAAGGCAGTGTATTCTGGAATCCATCAAGACTTTTACTCTTTCTGTAAATAGGAAGCATTGTAGAAGTCCTACTGTGTGCTTACGCACAGTAAAAGGATATATGTATAAACAACACCCATGTAGCTCTCTGCGTATAATTAAAATTCAGCTAGATGTGTCTTCTGACTCTTCCACGACTGTATAAGTTAACCACAAGAAGTGCATGTATAATATAGTGAGAGTCCAAGTGTAGTTAGCTGTATTTTCAAATGTAAACTCAAAACTAATGTTTGATTGACTGTGACAGAGGACTTGACCCTCAGGCCTTGTTTGATTTTCCGTGTCTTTTTGGCAGTTACATAGTCTGTAATTTTTCACGTTTGATATGTTTTGCCTTTTTTTTTCGTAAAGTTTGTAACAAACATCAGTTCTTGTCTTTTATGTAAAATCTCAATTCATTTTTTGTTTCATTCTTTCAATTCTAGATTATTTGTACAATGGTCAGGTTATAAAACAACCTTTTAACTAATATCAATAACATGTTTTGTTCTTTTATTGAAAGTAGTACAGCCTGACTGCAGCCAACAGATGGAGCGGATCAAAATGTAAATCTTTTCCATGATCAGCAGAAGGCTGCCCCACTTCTTAAAATCTAAATTGTCATTGGCACCTTGGTGTGCGGTAAGCCAGCAAACACCTCTTTGGAGAATTAAAAGTATGACATGAAAATGTTCAAAAATGTTTGAATGATGTAATGTATTAAATGCTGCAGTCGATGTAAATAAGTTTATATAACGCAACATACAATTTTACAAAAATTGTAAAAGTATTATTCCTGAATATTTATTTTACTTTCAACCACTCGACATGTTCAGTGGCATCAGTGCTATACATACACATATAGTTCTTATTTTTTTCTTTGTATTTTTGCCCTCTATGGACAATAAAAGCGGTATTGTGCTATGACCAAAACATAAATATAAATCTATATGAATAAAACATGAATTGGAATATTTCATATCACACAATTTCTATGCTTTGTCTTTGATTTAAAGATGACAATACGCAAAAATCTACAAAAATTGTAGAAATTGTAACACATGGGTTACAAAATTGACTAAAAAGTGATGAGTCCGAAATGAAAGCCAGTCCCCCCAAATTTAATACAGATACACAAATTCATTACAATTTTAACACTGATAAAATGGTTAAAAAATGGAAGTGTGGTGGTCACAAATGCCAGATCAGCTCAAACCTGCAAAGAAATATGGGTAAGGTATATTGTTTCCTGTTGTTGTCATCATATAATTTAATATTTTTCAAGAGAAAGTTCCCATTCTGTTAGGAAAGATATACAACGTGTTTAATGGCATAAAGTCTTGAGCCAACGGTAGCCTTTTAGTATTCTTTTTCACTGTGCAGTCCAACGGCTATCGAATTTCATTTGACAGGGGGAAAAAGTTTTTACTTGTGAACTGAAAATCACTTGCAGATTTGTGCATTTTACTTTTGCTTTAGTAAATGGCATTAATCAGTACTTGTCTTTTTTCACAATTATTTTATCTGCAATTATACTTAGAGAGTGTGAATTAGTGATGTGTCGTTCGCGAACGAGCCGGCTCTTAGAGCCGGCTCTTTGAAGTGAACGACATGAGCCGGATCCTAAGAGGGAGCCGCGCTCATGGGAGCCGACTTTTTTTTTTCCTCCTGTTTTTTTCCCCCTTTCGGTTAAAGCCGCACGTGATTGGTCAAGATCCGTGGTAGAAGAGGGAGGAGAGGGTTACACACGCCCGCACACGCACGCACACGCACACACACACACACACACGCACGCACACGCAGACACAGACACGCGCGCGCGCTTCAGTGAAGAGAAGGGGGAGGAGTCAGAGAAACAGCAGCACACTGTGAGCAGCACACGAACAGGAGAGACAGGGAGACGAGACAGAGCTCGATAGCGCTACAGTACAGAGAAAAAACTACACGGTGGAAAGTGGAAAGGTGAGAAAATGGATAGGCAACACAATCAGTGATTGGAACTTTTTGTTGACCTTGTTTTGAGATGGGTCTTTGTTTTTGTACTTTGTAATTTATTTTTTGTAGCACTCCATGTTGTACGCCATGTTGAGTATGTTCAGAAGAATATAAAGCCATATAAATAATAAATATTTGATATACTGTATATTTTTTACATTCGTAATTCATTTTACACATAATTTTACATTATTTTTGGGAGTAAACTAATTTAAGCAACAAAAAAACTGAGGAGCCATTTGGGAGCCGAAAGAGCCGGCTCTTTTTAGTGAGCCGAGCCAAAAGAACCGGCTCTCTAAAAAGAGCCGGAATTCCCATCACTAGTGTGAATGTGGTTTTGACACCTTTATCCAGTACAGGATTCGACACAGTTGTCGGGTCACGCTCGTGCAAGTTTACCAGACGTTGTGGGCGGAAGTCTTGACTAGCCTCTGACCGGCAATTCGCAAGACGAACTATCAAACATTCAGACAAATGCTAAATGCCTGGATCCTGCTGATGCAGTATGTGACCCATTCACAAGACTTCCGGGTGTGACGTAGGACCTCAATGACGTGAGATTTCATTACCTGCCCACCCCTCACCCCCTCGCTACCCAAAAAGTCACCTGACTTGCCGGTTGCCTCGTCCCTCCACTTCCTCCTCCTCGTCCTCCTCCGCTCTTCCTCGGCTCTGATTGGCTGCACCTTTTGCGGGAGCTCCACAGCGCCGCTCGCTTCTCCGGGACGTGATGGCGCAGAGAGAAAGCGCAACCAGGCCACCCAGCCGAGCTGGACCGACGATCTGGAGCCGGAGAGGGCGGATGATGTGATCGGATGCGGGAGGCTGACTGCAGATAGGGGCGAAGTGGCTCTTAAAAAGACGCTCCTTTGCTGCGGTGACTGCTCACTCGTGTCATATCGTGGGAGTGGAAGACGACCAAGGCTGAGCTTAGAGGTAAGTAAATAAGATGTTGTTGGTCTCGGGATGTGCACGATGCAGGCGGGTGGTGGATGCACCGGATGTGGAAAGATTTACTGTCTGTTCACCTATCAACAACATTGCGCCCTCGCTGTCTTTAGAGTTGAAGATATGACGAGATTTAGCTTTAATGCTGCTTCCCCCCACTGACATTTGTGATGGGAGTTTGTTCGGAGAAAGGCGGCGTGAGTCGAAGGGATTGAAAACACTCCACCCATGACATCATTGACTTTCTCAAGTTGATTTTTTTCCCCCAATGGTCGGACACTCATCTGTTGCATTTACCACATTATGACTCGTAAGAACTGGGACTGCTGCTGCTTTGAGGAGTGGTTTGAATGTCCACCCACACTGGCCAACATAACTGTCAATATAGAGTGATGGTTAGTTTTAACTCTCTAAGGTGGGTGTCTTCCTAGAACAGGTAATCACCCATTTGACCTTTTGGATGAGCATCTTTCAGAATGAGAGGATTCTAACATTTTGGAAAAAAACAGACCATTTATTTGAGATGTTTTATGTATTCAAGATAAAAACAGATGACAATACATTATGTTATTGTAGTTGAAATGTCCAGCAGTTGCTCAACCCTCAATGGTGTATACTTTGCTTTCTCTTTATTAATTTTATTTGTCATATCATGAATTTTGCTCTGTTTGGCACAGACATTCATGCTTCTGAAATACAGGTTTCAAAAATATTGCTGAATAAATCCTTTATAATGAAATAAGGTACACGTAGTTATAATTAGTGTCTGAAACCATTGAATAATTTGAAAAGTACAAAAGAGCACTTAAGGGTACATTCGGCCTACTCATTGTCGGAGCAATTAGCTTGATGATGTCATGTCTACTGAGTCACAGAGTTCACTTTTTTATTTTCCTTTAGATGGCCAAAAGTTTTAAAATAGAATTGTGTGTGCATTGAGACACAACTTCAGGCTACAATTTCTCCTGTTTTAAATAGTCAAACTTAAATAAAATACAGTATGTCTCTGAAATGTTTTCACAATAACAATGAAGGCATAAAGTAATCCCAAAACAGCTGTCTTAAAATGATGATGTGAGTCAATGTGGTATCAGATATATTTCCGATATGAGTTTGTCCTCAAGCGGGAGCGACAAAAGAAAAATGTAATTTCAGTGGTTTCGTTTTGCATTTTAAATACCATTTTGGAATCATTTTTATGACAGCTACTGTTAAACCTTTGTCTCAGACAGCCATAAGTTACGCATCTTTTTTTGCTCTCATTGAAATTTCATCTGAGATGAGGTTAACCATTTGCTGCAAAAAGACAGAAACTAATCTGAATGCATCTACTGCAAGTTGGTTTGTATTACAAGAGACATCATAAGCAAGTTGCATTTACGGCACACAAAAAAGGAGCAAGCCAATGATGCTTTTATGTTCATGCTTGTTGCTTGCATCCTGTTTGAATGACCTCTCTCTGGAGGGCTTGTGGGGGCAGCGGCTTTGCTATCATTGCCTGCTGTCCAGTAAAATGCCTTGTCATGCTCTTCACTTCCTCCTCTAATAACTATCCTCCTCCTCCTCCCCTCTCCACTCCACTTTGTTGGACTTAATTAAGGCATGCGTTGGTTCGGGGAAAGAGAAGACGTATGCGCCGCGGTTTTTAACACAGGCAGACAAAGTATGTCAAATGGTAGCCTTTCAGTGCTCTAACCAGGTGTCTTTCACGACTAGGAGGATGGGTAAGAAAATCTTTTACGGAATAACGGACCATTTTGGCTGGCCCGGTGTCCGAGTGGTTAGTATACCACCACACAGTTGTAAGGCTGCAGGTTTTAATCTGGGTTCTGACCTACCGTTGTGAAGAGTGCATGTTTTCCAGGTGCCTGTGTTGGTTTTCCACAGATACCTTGTCTCAAAACATGAATATTAAGTTCAAAGAAAACTCTAAATAGTCCTTAGGCGTGAATGTAAGTGGTTGTTTGCCTATGCAGAGGATTCCCGACACATTGCCATTACAGTGTCTAAAGCAGTGCCATTGCTTTGTCATTGATACGGGCCAAGGGCAGCAGTCCGTCTCTCAGTCAGGGGCCCCCTTCAGCTTGGGACCCAAGGCTATGGTCTGACCTTTTCTCTCATGGGATCATCACGATGTGTTTGTTGTCACACAACCAATGCAGGACAGACGAGAGACAAGCTGACGCACTGATCCGACTGGCTGGTTCAGTGCAGGTACCTGTTGTGTGTCTGAGTACACATTCAGCACAAACAGAATGTTGTCGTCTGGTTCCGTGGCAAGCCACCGAGATAAGAAGAGGGCCCCGCATGGACAACGTGCACACTTAGCTCTTCAACCTCTTAGTTTGTTCAATTCCCAAGATTTTTGTCTAGCTTTAAAATCTGCTGTGTGTGTGTTTTCCAATGCTTCTAGAATGTCTGAAATGAAATCAGCACAGTTGCGTTGTGTGTATGTGGTCATCTTTCCACGGGCATATGCAGTCAACAGACATGAGATGAGGTGTACGACTTTTCCTTATTCTGTGGCCGAGGAGGAGCTTAGTTTACTTGTCTGTTTAAATACCTTTTCCCACTGAAATTAATTGTCTGTCCAAGCGTCCACAAAACAAATATTTCATTTTGCATTTGTTTTTAAATGACAAAAAAAGTATTATACAGTGGACTTCCCGGGACGGGGCCAGCCCATGTATCGTAAAAATCTGCTTTTTATTTACGTCCATTGAAAACATTAGGGGGAAAAGAAAATAATGTATTCCCCCCCCCCAAAAAAAAAAAAAATCCACTGATAAACATTCAAAAAAGGATTTCCTTGAAAAGCGGGTAAAATGGGGGAGAAAAAAAAAAAAAACACCAAAAATATAAGAAATATTGAAAACAACAAATATGCGAATCCGAAACCCTTAGGCACCGAACCATGAGTATGCAGTGGCCACCTATATTGCTGGTAAAGATGACTATCGATGAATATTAAACCAGAATGTAAACTAATTAAAGAGAATGTAAAGAAAAAAATTTATTGTATTCTTCGGAGAAGTCTCTCTCTCTCTCTCTCTGTCTCTCTCTCTCTCTCTCTCTCTCTCTCTCTCTCTCTCTCTCTCTCTCTCTCTCTCTTCGTGTAACTTGCAAAAAATTAAGTTGAGGCATTGGTATGCCAAAGTACAACTGTACCTGCTCTACACTGCCAATACAAGAGATGTATTCATACAAAAGTTTGTTTCATAGTAATATTTACTTGACACCGTTTTGACCATTGATTGTTTCTAAACCACTCAATCATGGATTGCCATCCATCTACCCGTACACTACACGCGCTGCATGCTTACGGTTTGCCACTCGTAAATTTACCTTTTGTTTTTATGATCAGCTTGCTCCAAACAATTTGTTATTGCTTTGGCGGCATCTGGTGGCATCTTGGTACCAAGGAAACAGTTTCAAGTGCGTTGAGGATCTTCAATTATACTAAAGTAGTGCTGTGCCACCATTTGTGGCATCTATAGACAATTGCAAACCATTTTAGCGTATTCGTCAGGATGTTAGGTCCCAATCCCCTCCACTGGATGTATGGTCTTTCATGTAGATGATTTCATTTCTCAGCACATTAAGAGTGAGAGAGCATGTAAATGGGGTTGGAGGCTGTGAAAAAAATTCAAGCGAGCACGTGTGTGTGGATAAAAGCCGCTCCCTGGCTCAACTGCAGCTTTATGCGAAGAGATTTATGGTCAGTGGGAGCAGAGGAAAGAAATGCAAAACATGTCGACAGTTGATGATATCATCTGTCTTGGATGAGAACCGTAACTATAAGCAGCCCCATTTAAGAGGATGCAGAGAGACTGGAGCGCTACGACGCCGCGTTCACGACAGAGTATTTCTCTCAATGCGCCCTGGGTACAGTATATCATATAAAATATGGCTTTGTAAGCGTTGCAGCACACCTCTTGTGAAATTGAAATGATTCAGTCATCTTAATTATTCAAGACATTTTGGACAATTGTTTGCTTCCAACTTTGTGGAAGCAGTATGTGGTACATTGTATGTTTTTGGTTGTCCGTGCCCGAGTCTATTTAGCACTTAGCTTATTAGAGTTCAGTTTTGAAGTCGGAGCTTCAAATCCAGCCTCTGGTGAAGTCCTCAATAATAAAAAGGCACATATACATTCCATACAATAGTTTTGTGTTTGTTTCTGGTCTCATCTAAAACACCAAACAATTACTCTTCAACAACCTTTACCAACCATCCTGTGCATGAAGCAACTTGTCTCCCTCCACCACTCTGACAACGTGTGTTACAGTTTGCTCTGCTGACTGTTCAGCAACAGACGGGGGAGTTCTCTTGAGAATCATAAACACAGCCTAGAAAATAATTGGCCTACCCCAGCCCCTTCGTTGGACGACACCCTCAGTTCACACCGCCTCTGCAGATGGAGCAGTACTGTGAAGGATGCAGCTCACTCCAGATCAGCTCTGCTCTGTGGTGGGCAGCTGCAGCACAAACTAAAATGGAATATTTGTTCCATCAAATTGTATTCATTTTTCCAAGAATCTATTCTCTTCTTTCTGTAGCATTTCTCTTGGATGTAGGATTTTTTTTTTTTAGTCCAATCAAATTTTAGCCTCTATGTATTGTTACATCAATTTAATGTACTCAAGGTCTTCAGAATCAGTAGTTCTCGCCCATGTCACTTTTACATGAGCAATGGGACCATTTATTAAACCCATCAGAATTCATATTTTACTCTGAAAATAATGTCAGTATTTTTCTCTCCGCCAATTGGTAAAATTCCACACGCATACAGTACACACAAACGCACACTCAAGTTAATGAAGACTTGAAACAAAAAAAGTTCACAATATTTCCTAATCCCAGACTGAAACTGTTCAGTTAATTCAGAACATCTTGTGAATTTCATGGTCCAATAATTGCCACAATCAGAAGATTCCACGCTTTTCATGACAAAAGCCCCAAGTTTAAGAGACATTGACCTTCTCCTTCCACATTTCTTGACCAATTGAAACCATTTCAACGACAAAATATTCAGCACATTCGGGACATTTCAGAATGACTCAATTCCCACATTAGCAGTATTTTCACATTGTCCTCGCTTTTTCCCATTCCTTGACTGGTTCCAATCTTTACACCAACTTAAGCTCGCAAATTCTGCTTTTCAACAACTCAGTTAATTCTGCAGCATTTCACTTAAGCTTCAGCTCATCAACATTCGCAGAAAACTTCTTCAGAAACTGTATCCTCTAGTATCTAAGTTTGTTGTTTGCCAATGCTATGTGTGACTGTAATCCCTTCTGTGTGGCCTTTCCCAACAGGTCATTCTTTGTCGCGTTAATCCAGTCAGCCATGATGTCAGTACAAACCCCTCCCCTCTCGCGCTCGGGCTCCTCACCCTCCAACGTGGGTCTGGCCAACCGCGGCGGCCCATCCGCCCTACCTCCCACCTCACTCAGCCTGCGTTCCTCTTACAACCAGCTGCTCGGACGTGATGTCATCAAGGAGTCCGCTGGCTCGCAAGGGGGAGGTTCGGCCACCTTGCCCAAGAGCCGTCAGAGACACACAATGACCAGCGTGCGCAGCGTAATGGGCATAAGTGATAACCTGTCATCGAAGAATCAAACTGCTAGCAGGGGCAGGGGCCTTCCCACTAAGTCCTCATCCAGTTCTGCCCTCTACTCCTCTTCCTCCTCATCGTCACTTTGCAATACAACCAACCCTAAACTGGCCAAGAATGGAGCCAACATGCAGAGACGTGCTGAGAGTCAGCAGCTGGAGCTGAGCAGAGCAAATACAGAGGGCAAAATTCACAACATCCCCACGGATAACATCAACTCTAACTGGCCCGAGTTTGAGAAAGACAACTCCCAGCTGCCCCCTTTCCGAAGACGGACAAAGAGCTTCTTGGAGTACCACGACAAGGGCTGGGATGTGAGCTCGGGAAACAACGAGAACAAGGAAGAGATGAAGCAGCTGGCTTCGGCAGAGAAAGAGCAGGCTAGCCCGGTCAAGGAGCGGGAGATGCAGAAGGAAGAGAAGCCCACCTGCGAAAGCTCTTGTGAGGAAGACAAAGAAGAGGCGGTGCCAGTGGTGGAAGAAGAGGAGGAAGACGAGGACGAAGCACTAACTGCAAGACAGCCTCTGTTACCGGTAGTCGTGGAAGCCCCGCTTTGCTCTTCCTCCTCTTCATCCACTAACAGCCCAGAGTGGGAACCGGAAAGCCACCAGGCTACTGCCCACATCAGAGAGGAGCACTGTGTCCAGGTTCAGGGAAGTCCGAGAAGTCCAGCAAAGCCGCCTCGGAGCTCCCAACCCAGGGTACTCAAGGTAGAGCTGCACCCCAACCACGAGAACCAGTTCCTGCAACAGTACCCACCATCCTCCCCTAAGCAGCCAAGGTCCAGTGAGAGGAATACCCCTACAAGGAACCGAACACCCACTGCCATGCCCGATCCCCAACCGGAGCTCGGGCTGCCCAAAGTGAGTTTAAGAATGGATCTGACTCCGGACACCCCATCGGAGGATGAAGACTCCAGCTGGACCACTTTGTCTCAGGAGTCACCCTCTCCTCAAAGTCCACAGGAGTCAGGTTCGCTAACATTGTGTTTGTCTTTTGAATAAGAGTGTCCAAGTCCTTCCGCTGAAAATTGAATCAAAAATTCAAATGATGCAAGGGAAAGTTGAGATGAAAAACTGCTACCTCACAAGTTCTGTTGAATATGATAAGACCAAATATTTGGTCATGATTTTGGGGGTAGGGTTGGCTGGGGTGTCACTCATATCCCACTAAAATAGAATAGAAATGTTTTCTTCGATTTCGAGCAGTAGTTGTTTTAATCTTTATTCACACACTTAAAAAAACATTAAAATGCTTATTCTATCATGCTTTGCAGTGCCCCCTCCTCCCTTCTCATACAGTGGACTATTCCATCTTCTTACGGCACGTGCAGACTTGATTAAGAAGAACAAACTTGATGATAAGTTGATGATAAACAGTAATATTCAAAATCTTTGAAATACACGTCTTTGGAGGGCACACTTTTCATGCGTCTCCACTAATTTCCTTAAATTGCGTTGTGGGCTGTTTCACAGTTGTTTTTAATGTACTACACTCAATAATGGATGGTGGGGCCACTAATGGCTCCCGGGCCATAATTTGTAAACCCCTGCTTAAGAACATCTTAGCCTTTAATCGTCGCTTGATTGCATCCCCCTTCACTCGCACTCTGCGCCTCCTTCCTGCTCTCTCATACAAACTGATCATTCTGGAAACGTACCAAAAGCCCCACCTCAGGCCATACTGTGGGAAGCTTTCAGGCCAGTGTGCCACCTTATGTCGCAGAGAATGTTTCACATTTACGAATGGTAGCAGATTGCAGATATCGGTGTGGCATAGGATGCAAATGGAAGTGAAAAATGATGCAAAGGCATAAGTAATAGAAAATGTAAAGGGGAGAACTATAGGAACGCTGAAACAGAATGAACAGAGGCCATTGCCTAAGGGGCACTGCTTTAGGGGATGAGGAAAGAGTTGCTATGGCAACAGAAGCTTTAATGATCCCCATCCTCCTTCACGTGCAGATACACATATACAAGCACACACATGTGATTTATGTACGACATGCACCCAATCTATATACTGCCTGTTTTGCTCCATTAGCAGATGTTTGGGGCGATGGGGACCTGCCCCCAGGGTGGCGGGAGATCTCAGACTCGTCGGAGGTGTATTTCTGGCACGTCCCCACCGGAACCACTCAGTACCACCGACCTGTTGCTTCCAGCAAGACCGAGAACAAGCCACAACAGGAGACGCACAACTCGCTGCAGCCACCCAATGAGGTGAGACGACTCTCATGTGTCGGTACAGTGTTGTCTTGAAGCAGGAGTTTAATTTGCTCCGTGATGACGCTCAAAACACACGTGTATCTCAAATTTTCACTTTTGAAATGAATGGACATTCATCCAATCCAGCCCCACATTGTGCTCCTTCTGATGTTCACACCTTGGCCACCATGATGTAATATAAAACCGACATAGAGAGAACTGACTCAGAAAGCCACAGTAATAAGTGTCATTTTTCGCAGTGGATTAAAAGTATATACCATTTACCATTAGCACATTGTCCTTTTCTGTTCAAATATCAATCGCTTAAAGCGTTATAACTGACATTGATGCTACTCGTTAGCCTGTCTATGGCATTTTGCATCAAGCATTGCCATGAAACAAGCACATTTGTTCCAGGGGCCGTATCTCACTGAGTGGCGAAGGTTTGCAAGTTTGTGCACACCTAGCGAATGTTTTTTTATGTGAGGATTCGTTCAAGGTCGCAAGGACGTTCCCCCACAATTGGAAGTTTAAATTTTAATGCAGGAGAGATTACTTTGCAGTAATGTATTTCAACAAACTTGTGTTTGGCAAATGTTTGCAAAAGTTTGATAAAAAAAACGACTGTGAGACCCTAAATTCGCCTGGGATTTTTGATTGGATGAGTGAGTCGCGGGTTGGGGCCCAGGATTGCGAGCGTGTCTGCTGAAGCAAGGCTGACGGTTGAGAGAAACGATAACTGGATGTTTTCTTTGGCGACATTAACATTTTCAATTTTACAATTAAGAAGTTACTGAGTGATCACCATACGCTTTCGTATTATCACTGTTACAGGATTGCGCTTGATGAATTCGTTAACAGCTGATGTGAGCACTGAAGGCTGCTCGTTAGCTAGCATTTACGGGTGTCATTCCAGATTGCCATGCATAGCACTTGTGCTTCTTTTTAGATTTGTTGTAGATTTATACTCTTGTTGAAGTATTTTTTGCAAGCTGTTAACGGCGGTGGTATGCGCCCCTCTTTCCTCCTGTCTGCCACAGCGCCCAAGCAGTCTCATCTCAGACAGTTCGGTGGAACCAGTCCCCTCCCCCTCTGGCTCCTCCCCAACCTCCCTCACCTCCACCTCCTCCAATGATGTCATCTCTTCTGCACAGAATCTTAACAGCACTCCCTGCACGGTCAGTGTCAACCTTTCATTCCCTCCCTTTGTTTTTTGTTAAAATCATGTGTTACTGTCCGCTGACACGCTGTATTCCATTTGGCTCCATCACAACATCCTCTACGCTGTATATTCTTTTGTGTATAAATTAAACTAAATTTCACACTGCATGATTTTTGAATCAGGTACATAAGTTAGATTAAGATCATAGAAAACTCAAGCTGCATCATAAAAATGTGTTGCCAGTTTGTTTCTTCTCCCTCTGTTATGAATACTAAAGCAAATTTGATTTGTTTTAGCATGCCATATCTTGATTGAGGAAAAAAATGTGTAAAGTATTATTCAACCATGTATTGATTAAATACCCGGCTGGTGCAGGGGATAAAGTCACCTTGCCAGCTTCAATGTCTGTCCAAGTTCACATTGAACAAATATAAAAACTGTGGTAATTAGTGGAGTCATTTTTAATTCCAATGAATGACAAACCCAGTCAAAAATCACCATAAAGTCATGAAAGGCTGTAAATTTCCCCAGTGTGGGACAAATAAAGGATATCTAATCTAATCTAATCTAATCTAATCTAATGAAGGTAGGAATATATTAATTCACTCGCCCACCACTTCTTTTCGTGTGTGTTTGTGTGTGTGTGTGTGTGTGTGTGTGTGTGTGTGTGTGTGTGTGTGTGTGTGTGTGTGTGTGTGTGTGTGTGTCCAGGATCTTAAGGACTATCCAATTTATCCTGACCCCAGTCTGAAGGCATTTGAAGGGGCCACCCTTCGCTATGCTTCCCTCAAACTCAAGTAAAACCTACTGATTAATTCCTTGTCAAAGTGCCATGTGTGTGTGATGTTCTCTCGCCAGATGTGTTAAACATTCACTTGTTTAATAATACAATGCAATAACTCAGTGAGAAGTTTGCTGTGTGAAAGGCTACTGTACAGTTCTGTCTAACTTTCAAGTTCAGTGCATTTGCATTCAGTCTTGAGGAACAGTATTTAAAGAAAAAAACAATTATTTAGGTACACACTAAATGTTAACTGGGACAAAACGAGGACATAGTTTACAGTGTTTTTGCAGTTTTTATCTTCTCTTGCTTTTAAAGTGAGTAAATATGTATCAACAGCACCACTTGGTGGTACACTTAGTACATGCACACACAGTAACTTCCTCCTCCTCCTCTGACAGGTGGTGAAGCCCCACTGGTTGTTATTTGGTGTTTCTTTGAATTCTCTCTGTCACCCTAAGGAAGGCCAGCTGGGCTGAAACGCATCGGGATGTTATATATTTTGACATGCCATGACGTGTTCAAGGCATTTTAATACAAATACAAACAGTATCCAAAGAGTGCCTTCGTTTTCTACTTTTGTATTTTTTTTTACACATTTTATTTTATTGAGGTGCAATACATTTTAACCCTTTCATACACCCTGCAACCTGATAACATGGTAAGACGTCCACTGTAGTAACCACTGTCCCTGAAAGGGTTAATTGAATAACTGGCTACATTTTTTTTTGTTATTTCCCTCTATTTAAGCAGAGTGGTAATGTTCAAATGGTGCATAATATTCCAGTGGCCAACAGTATTCTGAAATATCCATGATAGGAGTAAAACCTCTGTCTTGTTTTTGATGAACAATTAGGTCTACTATGCTGTGTTTTCATTTAGGCCATGAAAGTGTTACTTGGAGAGCTAAGGTTTTTTTAGGTGGTATTTTGTGTAAAAAGCTTGAGAACCCCTGCATTATGCCTTTAATATCTCACTTTTCTGCAGCCCTGCACTCCCATTGGAAACTGTGGACCTCAACAATACCTTCCCAGATCCAGAAGCAATGGTAGGACTAAATATATTATATGTTATTGATCCTTAAATTTGGTTGTTATTGGTTCACGATTACATTTTATGTCTCTACTAAGAACAAAATATTACGATGCATCTTAGTTTTTCTCAGTCGCTTTGGTTTGTTTCTCAGATCAGAATTGAAATTTGCAAATGAGTAAGTGCATTTTCTCAAAACATGGTTCCCCTGCAAAAGCCATTTTCTTTCTCAGTATCTTCAGTACATCTCCCAGAAATAAATATTTGTGAACATACCATCAGAACAAGTTTTTTAAATTTTTCTTTTTTTTTTTTTTGTCATTGTGTACGGATAACACAGTAAAATTGCTTAGTCATGTTGTCAGTATACAGTAACTCTGTGCTCTGGAGGGGCGTTCTGACAGCTGCTTAAGATTTGATGACAAATTCAACATTCGAAACTGAAAGTTACACTTGTGTATGTGGAAGATTGTTTGCAAGCGAGTGGGCAAGATTCGCATTTCACTTTTCATACAAACTATTTGCACTGTAATTTGTTGACAAACCATCTCATTGTGATACAGAAAGGAAAAGGCAGCATTGCATAGCACAAAGATTAAAAAAAAAAAAAAATCGATATGGGGCGGGGGGTTGATATGTATACATTGGACAATCTCCTAAGGGAAAATTGTCAATGCAACCTTGTAAGAATTACAGTGTAGTCTTCCTACTTCCTTCGGGCCACAAATTCTCATCCACGTCACAACAACTTAACTTGCTATGAGCTATTTTACAAAATTGGTTGATCCTTGTTTGATCTAATGTTTCACACATCTCCATTCATTTTTAAAGAGTCAAGATCAGCTGTTACATTCCAAAGTACAGATTTTTAGGAAAGCCACAACTCACACTTCAGCCCAATTTTTGCATTTATTAAGTAGGTGGCAGCAGCGCACTCTGCTGATTTGAGCTTTGGACCAGAAGGTTGTGGAAGTCTGATTGTAGACAAATACAAAATAACGTACACAAAATAAGTAACAGTCGATGTATCAATAATAAATAATAATAACAAATAATAAAAAAAAAATCCCCCTGACTTTTCAACAAAGAATTACATCATATTAATGTTATGACTGAATGCCAGGCAGAAAAAGAAGAGAACTGTGATCAAAAAAAAAATAAAAATAATAATAATAATCCATGAAGTGTGTGTTCCTCCTAGTCATTTCCAGTACGGTCCTTGGGCTGGGTGGAAATGGCGGAAAAGGACTTGTGTGAGGGGAGGAGCAGCGTGTCCGTCCACCATTGCATAAGACAGCTGTCCTACTGCAGGAGGGACATTCGAGACTCAGCCGGAGTCTGGGGAGAGGTCAGTTACTTTGATCATTAACTAAATACAGGAATGATCTCAATTACTGTATGAGTGCTTGTGGTGGGAAGTCAGGAAGTACAAATACTTACGGTACTACTGATTTTTCAGGAAACCGATCTGTCCTAGCAGTAGGTAAATATTTCACAGTATAGGAGAACAGAGTTGGAGTATTTTTGATGAGAACTGACTTCAACAAGAACACCCCCACAAAAGCTGATGTTTGTCCTCTCAAAGGGCAAAGGGATGCTGCTGGTGCTTCAAGACCGCATGTTAACTCTGGTTGACCCAGATGATCAAAGCCTCCTCCACTCTCAGCCAATCAGCAGCATCCGTGTGTGGGGAGTCGGACGTGACCATGACAGGTATTTGAAATGCTTTCAAACATCCTGTAAAGCTTCTTGGAGCGCTTCCTTGGCTACTCGGTAGCTGCAGGCGTGACATGATGAGATACAAGCAAACACTGGAACGCATACATCCTGCAGGAAATGGAAAGAAAGCTCATTACATTTACAAGGAGCATGATTGCTTCATTTTCTGTGTACATTTGCACTAACTGCATTCACAACATTATGATTTATCCTCAACGTTTCATGCTTCCATTCCGCATGTGAATGACCATCAATCTACTGGTTCTCAAACAGGATGATGGGTTCCCGCTAACTACCGAAGCAATACGAAGTGTACATTAGCATGCTGACAATACCGATTCAGGCTGAATATGTTGATTTATTAGGTACACCTGAACAAACAAATAAAATGCAGCACATAATTGCAACCAAAAAAAATACCACAGAAGGTATACGTTTAAGGTCACCAAAATACTTTATTCAATGTTTTAGGGATCGAGACTGAGTAATTGACGGCTATCCAGAAAGCTTTGAATGTACCTGTCGATTTCACAAGATGGTGGCAAAGCACTTTTTTTCCTCTCAATTCACCATTGTACCTGGGCCCCAATTTACTTCAACATGCCACCAAAGCAATCTATTCACGTTAGACATAGCTTGAGCATGAGTACAAAAAGAGAAAAGGGGATTTTTCCAGCAAACAACACAAGAGTGTTTCTTCCCAAATATCGGTGAATGGCCAAATCTGCAAATGTCAAATTGCAAATATTTATGACTGTAGATTGGCAAACAAAAGTCTTTTTAGCTTGTTGAATTGTTGTAATGACCTCATGTGTCATGAGCTTTCTAATGCAGATATCGTAGCTTGGTGTAAAGCGGATCAGAGAAAAAAACAGCCTCCACCTGCTGATGCTTTCCATCCACATCTGTAATAGGATTTTTTTTATGCTGTGGTACCTCGATGCAAAAATGTCAAATCGAAGCAGTAAAAAGTACGCAGACATCTGTGCACTTTTCAAATGTGTTCAGTGTTGCAGAGCCTGCTCTCAAGGACAAGTGAGCCCGTTTAAAAAGTCCTACCTGGACCTTGTAGCAGGGTCTCTCTTTCACACCCCAAAAGTACTGTCAGATTTGGTTTTGATCCAATAACAAGTAGTTGGCCTGTATTGACAATTTTGATTTGAGTAGTTATTAATATTTGCATTTAATGCGGGAGGACACTACCAAATTTGAATGATCGATCCACATACTGTTAATATCCTCTATGCACTACTGCAGTTTTATTGAGGCGTACGATTAAGAAGCAGTGCTGTTCTGTACTCGCAGTGTGTGATACTGAGAACCAGTGGAAGTGAACTACTCTTGAATAATGCTGAGGATGGCTAAGATGTTACGTTTCAATTCAACTGCAGCAGCACATTAAGTAGAGAAACATAAATTCGGTCATCATTACACTGATATTTATCAAGATCAATGCCTACATTGATGTCGACGTTAAGAGTATTTGGATAGATTAAATGATACAGCTCTTGTGTTGGCTCTTGGCGTGAAGTTGTACCTGATATTGTGGCTGTAGACTTTTTTTTTCTTCCAGTTGCTCAACCACAAAATACGACGAAACTGTGTGAGGTTCACTTCCAGTATATGATATCCGTGTTCCCCTCATGTGTAATCAGCTGTTAAAATAGCATCAGTGTACAGTACATGTCCGTACTCCGTGTTCTTCTCATCCTTCTCTTTGTCTTGTTTCCATAGTTTCTCTCACTACCCGCATTCTCTCGGCTCCCCCTGTCTGTCTTTCTGCTCTTTTCTTTCCCTCCTTTGTGCAACAACCTCTTCTCTCTCTCTCTCTCTCTCTCTCTCTCTCTCTCTCTCTCTCTCTCTCTCTCTCTCTCTCTTTCTCTCTCTCTCCCCCTCTCTGTCTCCCTCTCTGTCTCCCTCTCTGTCTCTCTCTCTCTTTAGGAAGAGTGCCTCTTCCCTCATGTGTCTCAGAGGATGAAGCAGGACTTGTTCTGCTCACCTTCTTATCGCAACCTATTTTTTTTTTCTTTTCCTCATCCAGATTTCTCTTTGCTCAGCCTTCTTCCCTCCATGTTGTTGAAATTTGCAGTCTAGATTATTTTTATTTGGGTATTTTTTTTTTATGTGATTCAAGTATCTATGACCGCAACCAGCACTCATTTAAAGCAGGACGTTTTTTGATTGCCCCCATTTTAGGGATTGCATTTTTTGGGTGTCTTATCTTGAAATTGTCACTGGAGGGCGCTAGAGTCAAAGCCTGTGTTTCAAGACGGGTTACAGAATGTATGAAGAGATGCCTGTCTTTGAAGATTATTGTTTTTCTTTCTCGGATATGCTGAGAACAAAATTTCCAAAGTGTGTCCTTGACTGTTTTCTCATTTCCTTCTGTGCAAATACATTTGAGATTATGTTTTTAGAGCTTTCTGGAAGTGTAGGTTCATGTTATGATGAGTAAGCAAGGTGACTGGATGTCTGCTTATGTTTCCAAATTTGTGGTTTTGTAGTTGGGGGGATCAAAGTGGCTGTAGCCTGTTTCTCAACCTGATTTTTTTTTTTTTTTTACACTTAAGTAACTCATCCATGAACCAATTCACCATGACATCATATGTTCTTCCAGGTGGAAAAAGGCTAAGTCTTTTCCACTAACATCATTTATAAACAAACCCTGACATGGCATTTGACCAAGGCAATTAGTTTGGAAAAAAATGGGCAAATGGCTTGAATGAGTATTTTAGCCTTCTTCTCTCATGCCACAATTTGAAGTACTGTATGTGAAATATCAGTCGAAAAAAAGTAAACGTGTTTGCAAGGGACACCCAACACTGACTGTAAATTTCCATTTCAACTGGTTAGTTCATTCAAAAATAGAGAAGGCGTAAATTCATACATTAACATAATCATTGAGGTAGTGGCAAAGTAATTCAAGAGACAGCAAAAAAGGAAATGTCTTAACCGCGGTGGTGTAGTCTCAAGACGAGCATACTACGCTAAATTCTAAATGCCTAGCCTACCATTAAATTGTTCTTTTGCTGACTGATGCTATTTGCCTGAGATTTTTTTTTAAGTTATGATAGATGCTGTATTTCCTCGTTATGTAATTCAGAAGGCTATGATTGCATGGCAGGTAAAATGGAAAGCTCAAAATCAAACAATTCATACATACCTGAAAAAGTCTTCCACAAACCTGACAAAGGAATATGGGTTTCCAATGTTGCTATCTGTAGAAGTATCAACAACATCCACACATTTTTTCTCATGCATTCCGCCTGTCTATTTTAGACTTTTTTTTTTTTCTGTTTCTGTCATGGTGTTCCGTTCATGACTTCTCTGCAATCCCGTGTGAGGTCTGGTTCTCTGTAGTACAGCACAAAATATATTCAGTTGATCTTAAATTGAACTTCCCTTGGAGGGATTATACTCACAAATAATAATAATAATAATAATAATAATAAAAATAATAATAATGGATGCTGCTGTAATAGCTGATTATTGCTTTTGAAGCTGTACTATTGACATTTCCACTAAATGTGTGCTTCTTGTGTGTGTGTGTGTGTGTGTGTGTGTGTGTGTGTGTGTGTGTGTGTGCGCGCGTGTGTGACCAATGTGAAACTACTTGCAGACGTCAAGACAAATTAAGGTCCTTATCTCCTTACATACTCTTCATTTTCCCTGCCAGTATTTTCCATGCCAGTTTTAAACTGGGCTGAGAATGTCCTTTCCATTTCCTTCTATATAAAATTATGAACCACAGTTCTCTTCAAATGTATTAATAGCCCGTCCGACATGAATGGATGATTAATTCCTAATCCATGTTTCAAAGAAAGGGAGACATTTTTTTACCTACATTGGAGGTATAGCTACTTGATTTTGGCAATTTCCCCAGAAATGGTGATGGCGACGCCTCTCATGCTTCCATCTGAGGAGTGTTCACACCCATGTCCTTAACATGTCGCTTTCTTGGTCCAGAATGATACAAAATGAATGAGCCCCCTTCCCCCGCACCCCCAATCTAAAATTGGGCGGGGCAGAGGGGGGGCGGGTGGGAGTTGTTGGTCCCTCGATGAAGTCATGTAGCTATATCTGGAGCACTCAGCAAGTCTGAGTATCTGGATGCCCCTGGTTGCATGTGCAAATTTTATCGTGTGTTTGTGTGAGTGTATGTGCACATGGGCTTGACATGATGAAGTCATTAGTCCAAATCTGGAGCACTCTTTTGTGTATGTGTCCATGTTGACTGTTTTCCCCATACTTTCTCCATCCCTTATTTTGGGCTCGGTATTCCCACTCTTTGTCTCCAGCCCTCATTCTGCCTCCCTCTCGTGTCATTGGCTGCTCAGCTCAGCGTATTCCTCCCGCTGCTTCTCCCGCCTTTGTGCAAGACTTCCCGTTTTTAGCACTTTCTGTAGGACGGGCAAATGGGAAATTATATCGGCAATTCTAGAGGGGAGCTGGTGCTGACTCTAAGCTGGGAGATGCCTCCCCCCTCACATTAAGTGATTCTTCAGACAGAGGTTTAGTCGTAGTTGTGGCAAGAGGAGGTCGGAGGAGGGAGAGAAGATGAAAGGAGCCCTTGAGGAATAAAAAAATTGAAGAGGAGGAGAGACAGAGAAAGCATCACCCTTGAGCTACAAGCGACACGGGAGCTCTATCGCAATGTCACAGAGGCAAAGAGTTAACGAGGCGAGGAACTAGTTTGTGACATGGCTGGCATGTCTGCCCGTGTGAGTATCTTACCTCTCCTTTATTATTGATCATTCTGTTATTAGTCCCCCTTTTATTTGTCACCTTCTTTGCCTTCGCTACATGGCTTTGACTTCAGACACAGCTGGGTCGTTGACTTCCCGACGATCAGTCAGGTGTGAGGATGCAGGCTGCTGCTGCTGCTGCTGAGCAGATGTTTGAGGTGGGTTAAGATAAGGCGCAAAGAAGAGAGAGGAATGAAGGGAGCAAAAGAGGGATTGGAGGGTGGAGGCAGAAAACAGGATTAAAGTGTG